ATTTAAGTTAAATTACTGAACTTAAATATACAAGTTTGATAAAAATCATCATTAAAGAAGAAAATTTCAAATGGCATTTAGAGGCTTTTGCATCTGAACTCTTCATATATATATATATATATATATATGTATGTATAAAATATAAATTATGATACATACTCACTCTCTCCATGTTCCTCAATCATGCGTGACTATTGTTCAAACAAGTTTCAAAAGATATTTTTGAGTGAGCTATTTAAAGGTCATCAGGCTTGTTTCAGGTTTGCGTGAGCGTCTCAGAGATATCACATCTCTCTAAGAGAAGCGTCCATGACAGTTATGATAGCGGTCATGGGTCTGCAGGACAATGCCATCTCTGTTCACAAACCCTCTGTCAGCACACCACCAGCTCTCTTTAATACACTCAAACTTGAAGGCACCACACCTAATAAATCCTCCTCTAGCACTGAGACAACTAGATTGTTGTAACTTTATAGGGTGTGTGTGTGGGGTGGGTTCCCCACAAAGAGAATAACACACAAAGAGGGCATTTTTGGTCCAAATGAAGAAAACAACTTATATTTTTTTTTAACTCTAAAAAACGCTGGATTGTTCTAACCCAAATTTGGGTCAAATATGGACAAACCCAAAAGTTGGGTTAAAAATGGCATCAAAAAATTGAACCCAATGGTTGGGTTTGTCCATATTTGACCCAAAGTTGGGTTAAAACAACTCAAAATTTTTTAGAGTGTATGCAGAACGTTTTCTTTGTTCAGGGTTAAGGGTATGGGATATAATATACAGTTTGTAGATCATACAAATCTTTATGTCTATGGAAAGTCCCAATAAAACATGAAAAGCCAGTGTGTGTCAACAGTATGTTGTAAGGTTTCACTTGTTACTACTACTTAACTACACTAGCTAAAGTGAACTAATGTGCAATACTTGTACATCATTTAACATTCTAATGTTAATTTCAACATCTAATTTTAAAATCAACAGTAGGTGATCAAAGGTGACAGATAATAGTAATTTATAATTTATAAATGCTGTTCTTTTGACCTTTCTAATCATCAAAGAATCAAAGGTATCATAGTTTTTACACAAATATGAAGTTTCAACATTGATAATAATAATAAATGTTTCTTGAGCATCAAATCAGCATATTATCATGATTTCTGAAGGATCATGTGACACTGAAGCCTGGAGTAATGACACTGAAAATTCAGGAATATACATTGTATAATATATAAAAACGGTTATTTTAACTTCGAATACAACAGTATTACAGTATTTTAAATCGAATCAATGCAGCCTTGGTGAACATAAGAGACTTTTTTCAAAAACATTTGAAAAGTGCATATAATTTGTATAAATTTTGAAAGAATAATTAAATTGGGGGAATTAAGAGTGGCGTTATCTTTCGCCTGGGAACATGTCGGCCCCCTGAGGGTGTAGGAATCTGATCCATACTCTAATCTCTCTGTATCGGTGGTGACACACATCAGTGCTGACAGGGGTCCTCCCAGCAAACCCCCTCCCCCGGGCCAGGATCACACACACACACACACACACACAGCTGGGACTGCATGGGAACATGCACTGTACTCACAAGAAGTGCTGCTGGGAATGCCATGCATCTTTTGTCACATGTTAATTGTTTTCCAAATTTCAGTTGATACTGATACAGACTGCCAAAGATCTCTAGGGAAATATCACATTTCATAAACTAGATAGCTGTAGCCTAAATCATACTGTATCTTGAATGGATGGTGAGGTGATTAGGGACACCTAAACAAGCACCCCAAGGAACCACATATCATTTGCATAGCAAAACCCTGGCAAACAGCCACAATAAGTGGCGGCAAGTTTCACACCTGCAAAAAAAAAAGAGAGAGTTCTTCCTCTGTATTTTTGTTGTGTTTTTCAGTACGAATATGTAAACATTTTTAAATCAGGATACTTGAGAAGCAAAATGACTTGTCTTGTTGTACACTTAAAGGGATAGATCACTTTGAAAATATTTTTGGTATGTTTTAGTTTACCTCAAGGGCATCCAAGATGTAGGTGTCTATGTTTCCGCAGTAGTTTCAATTTTGATATTTTTAGGTCAAACCGTTCTTGTCTCTCAGTCATTTAATGCAGGTCTATGGTCACCACCTCAAAGAGCATGCACAGAGAAGTCCAAATTAAACATGATTTAATGACTCGTAAATGTAAGTACACACTGATGGCCTAAGACACGAAACGAGCGGTTTGTGTGAGAAAACGAACAGTATTTATATAGTTTTTACCTCTTGTTACCACAGCCAAAAAGCGCCCGTGCTCTCATATCACTTGGACGTGGCTGTGGTTACAAGAGGTCAAACTGATATAAATACTGTTCGTTTTCTCACACAAACCGCTCGTTTCGTGTCTTAGGCCATCAGTGTGTACTTACATTTATGAGTCATTAAATCATGTTTAATTTGGACTTGTCTGTGCATGCTCTTTGAGGTGGTGACCATAGACCTCCATTATATGACTGACAGACAAGAACGGTTTGACCTAAAAATATAAAAATTGAAACTACTGCGGAAACAAAGACACATACACCTTGGATGCCCTTGAGGTAAACTAAAACATACCAAAAATTAATTTCAAAGTGAACTATCCCTTTAATACAAGAGCAAATGTCTGCCAATGGCATAAAAATGGGTTTCCCTTTAAATTAAGTTTATTTTTCTTATTTAAATGGTAGATATTTTTAGTCATTTAATTTTCATAATTTTTTCAGAAAGCAATTTCAATTTCAATGTATATGAAGCAGAAGCACAATTAAAAACAACTGCCGTTGACCAAAATACAAACACACAAGTAGACGAGAAAGCATAAAAAAGTTTAACTCATGAATTATAAACCAGATCAAATAAAAATGAAAACATTTAGAATAAAAAACAAGACTCGCTATCTTACATAACTTTACTTCTCAAGTAAACGTGTCTTAATCAAGAATGTTTACATATTTGTACTGGAAAACGAGAAAAAGTTAAGATTTTTTTTTTTTTTTTTTTTTTGCAGTTTGCCAAACATTTTTTCAGAAAATTTAAGAAGATATATATTTTTAATGTATATTCCTACTTTGTTTAAATACAGAATGAGTCAGTTTACAGAGGAGAGAAATGATTCTTTTATTTTTATAAATCGGTTAAATAGATATAAATGCAACAAAGGAAATACAGAATGTCTAAGATTCATGGATATAGTCGGAATTCTCAATTAGGCCCATCTGCTCTTTACGAACGAAGAGGAAATTAGGAAGAAAATCATAAAACACAGGTGACTGCATCAGAGAGCTGGATGTACAATATATATTGCATAATCGTATAACATAATTATATAATGTTCTAATAGCAAGTGATGTGTGAAATATCACAAAATAAGAAACTATCAGAAAAAAGGGGGAAAAAAACAACATAAAAGAACATGCAAATAGCTACTAGTCTCTCCTGCTCAAAACTGGACAGCCAAGCAAAAATAAAAAAATAAAATTAGGTTTAGTATGTTATAATTATTAGACAATCTGTTAGATATTTAAAGTTGAAATGACAAAAAAAAAAAGTATATATATATTTTTTTTCACAAAACCCGGGTTTAACAAAAATAACTAATATGTAATATATAGTGTTCTAATGTTGATATTGATATACGGTTAAATAAATCATTTTGATTTCTATTGAACTATTAGGGCCCTGTCCCAAATTGCACCTTCCTCACTGTCGTAACGTAACGTCGGAGTTTGCTTCAATGTGGGCTCTCGCAAACATCCTTCCGAAACCGAGAATGACAAACCACGCCCCTACTACGCCCCCTAAAATGAAACGGCCAATCAGCACCTCCCTCTAGAAACCCTGATGTCTCACTAGACCGGCTCTTCTTTTACTGTGGCGGTAAAGTATTTTAATTATGAAACTCCTTAGTAAATGTTGATTTGATTGAAGGGGTAGGGTTAGGGTAGCTATAGACCATTTCAGAAGATGTAAACAACACTGGTCCAGAAGCACTTCCTGTTTCAGTTTTTTAACACTACATAAAAGCTGGGATAAAACACAACCAACAGAACATTTAAAACTGAATCAAAAAATTAAACAAACATCTTTAAGATGTTTTCTTTACATGTGAAATAAAGAAAACAGTTACAAACTGAAACAGGAAGTGCTTCTGGACCAGTGTTGTTTACATCTTGTGAAATGGTCTATAGTTACCATTTTATTTGTTTAATGCTTTTCTAATAGCTGGTATTTCATACTTAAAGGGATAGTTCACCCAAAAATTCTGTCATAATTTCCTCACCCTCAAGTTGTTCCAAACCTGTATGAATTTCTTTCTACTGTTGAACACAAAAGAAGATATTTTCAAGAATGTCAGTAACCAAACAGTAGATGGACCCCATTGACTTCCATAATATGAGAAAAAACTATTGAAGTCAATGGGGTCCATCAACTGTTTGGTTTCTCACATTCTTCAAAATATCTTCTTTTGTGTTCAACAGTAGAAAGAAACTCATACAGGTTTAGAACAACTTGAGGGTGAGGGAATTATGACAGAATTTTAATTTTTTGGCTGTACTATCCCTTTAAATAATATTTGAAAGCAATATAAGTTGGCCTTACAAACATCTCATACATAAACATGAAAGAAATGTACTTGAAAAGATCGTTTCCGCTTGTTTCTCAGCACGAGGCGTAACTTTGTAGTAGTGTGGGACGCACACAGACCCTACTGTAGTAAGTCCACTAGACCGTAGTGCATATGAAGTGTGCCTTTTGGGACAGGGCCTAAAGCGATTTTAATTCATTGTAGGTTTCAGAGAGAACGCTGATTGAGTCAAGCAGACGACGGGTCGTTGTTTTTACAATCAGATAGTGTACGATTACATAAATAAATACTTTTAATGTGCAAACTCGCATGTTTGCTTTGAAGTTTTAGTGCGCAATGCAACGTAAGATGAGTAGTGTTAGTCACATTTTTTATACGTACCGTTACATTTTAACATGCACAGAAATTAAATCATATTAAATGTAGGATTACATTTTCACTTTCACTTTTCCATCTTATGCCACATCATCACGCAACTCTGACAACGTCTTTCTGTGGGAAAACAATCCAAGTTCCTCCCTCCAGTCAAAAACACATGTAGCACTTGCTTAACAGGGAATATCACTTACTTCCGCTCTCACTAAATAGATGGGGATTCAGCCGTGTTTCATGGGACAATTTCAGATTTAGAGAGAACCTCATAACCAAATATACGAAACTGGGGCCTATTAAATATGCACACATGGTGGAAAATGGTTTTGACAAAGATCAAAACAAAGACGGGGCTTTATTTGGACTTCTCGGGCGCCACGGGGTCCGTTTGCATTCCGGCATCAGACTGGCGTTTTTGGCCCTGTGAGACACACCAACGCACAACGCAACATTAGTGATCATAACTTAGCAAGGAAGTCTTAGGTTTTTAATGGCGCCTGAAGCAAAACCCCTCGCAACCTGTCTGACAACTACTGTTTTATTTAGCTAAAGTACCAACAGCGGATCTTGCTCCGACACGTCTCTTTTAGTTTTAGTCAATGGTGAAATTACACGCTTTATTATCGGTGTATGCTGTGATTATGCAGGGATGAAACCACCAATAACCGTGGATAATAATAATGAACACAAATTCATTTAAATGAATGAAGAGGCTAAAAAACAAATATTGCAACTAAGATTAGAATAACATGAGATTTCATGCAATATTATTAGATTTCATGCAGTTATAAAATATCATATGCAAATGTTTTCAAATATTTATTACATTTTTAATTAGCATGTATTAAAGCGCAATACAAATGAGAGTTCATATTTATGTGGAATTGATTGACGTAAATGTTGGTGACTGAGGCCATCTAGTGGTCATACACTGTCAAAGTTGATTCTTGTTTATGTTTTAAGATTAACAGCCAGCAAACAATACCAAAAGAATCAGGATGGTTAGACGTCGCACAGAATTACAAAACACTTCTCAGCATTTCACTGACAAACTACATGCAAGTGAACAGTTAAACTAGATAGACACGCGTGTCCTCTGTCCACTCCCCTGCCCTCGGTGAGCTCTGTGTTTTTACTTAACCAGGTTTTTGAAGAACAGCTGGAGGGAATTCCTCTTCTCCAGCTTTCGAGGCATGTTGGGCGAGGAGTTATCCGTGCTCCCGATGGATTTGTTGTCCGGGGCCGTTTGTGGTGCTGGGACGGCAGGTTTGGGCTCCTCTTTGGCCTTCACGACTGGAGCAGCTTCTGCCACAGGAGGTGGAGCTGGAGTCTCCTTCTTGGCCTCTGGTGCCTTGAATTGATATAAATCAATGGTGGTTAATGAGATTAATGATATATATATATATATATATATAAAGAAATTAATATTTTTGTTTATTGATCAAAAGTGACAGTAAAGACTTTTATAATGTTACAAATGATTTCTATTTCAAGTAAATGCTGTTCTTTTGAACTTTAAATTCATCCACAATTGTTTTCCACAATTATATGATTGATAATAATGAGAAATTGGGAACACTTTACAATAAGGTCCCGTTAGTTAATGCATTAACTAATATTAAATAACATTTGTTAGAGTATTTATTTATCTTTATTAAATGTGAGTTAATACAAATGCAATTGTTCAATGTTAGTTTATGCTAGCTCAGGTCCATTAAATAATATTAACAGATAGAACTTTTGATTTTAATAATGTATTAGTAACTGTTGAAATTAACATGAACTAATATTAGTAAATGCTTGGGAAGTATTTTTCAGCGTTAGTTTATGTTAACAAATGAAACCTTATTGTAAAGTGTTACCAAGAAATGTTTAGAATTTAGAATTATAATTTTCAAAAAGTTATTTTTAAATTGTAATAATATTTTAATAATAAATTAAAATATTATTAAATTAAATTAATCAAATTAAAATAAAAAAAATATTAAATTAATAAAATTAAAATAATATTGTAATAATACATTGCTTTTGCTGTATTTTTGATCAAATGAATACAGTTTTGATGAGAACGAGAGGCTGTACAACCCCTAACATTTATTAATAAACTTATACTATACACTCAAAAAAATAATAATTTTGGGTCAAATATGGACAAACTCAAACATTGGGTTAAAAATGTCATTTAAAAATGTAACCCAATGGCTGGGTTTGTCCAAAATTGGGTTAAAACAACCCAGCATTTTTTAGAGTGTATATAAATATATATATATATATATATATATATATATATTATATCATATTATAAAACAAAATGTTTAATCATGTAATTATTAAAAAAATACTAAAATAATACTAAAAAAAAATAGAACATTATTAAGAAAGTCTAAGGCTAATGCAAATAAGTGAAAGTAAGTGAAATACAAAAAAGGATTATTTGATGATCAAATATATAAACCAATGCAATCCATATCTATACTTCAAATACACTATCAAAAAGAAAGATCATATGAGAGTAAAGAATTTTAGTAGAAATGAATTACTCAGAAAACAGTCTATACAGGATTACGTGTGTATATGATTACATATACATATTATATTGCTTAAATATTTGATTAATAACTGTGCCAAAAAAGGCCTGTTCACACCAAAGACGATAATTATAACAATAACAACAAATATAAAAATCGTTCTAAATATAAAAGAATAGCAGACTTCACACCACAAGTATAAAGACAGAGAGAAATGATATAGTTTGAATCACTTTCAGATTTCAGCCAATCAGAATCCATCCTCGAACATTTAAAGCGTCAGACTTGTGGACACTAGTATCGTTGTAGTTTTCGCTCTTGGTGTGAACGGCCTTTAGATATGTGTTTTCCCCCCTGTAAAAATCATTTAAACTTGTAGTGCCAGGGAACAGACACGGACAACACAAACACACATGTCAGGCGTAAGGTGGAGCAATGCAACAAAATCAATCAGTTTGGTTAATGCAAGAATGGCCACCGCATCGTGCCATTACCGATCTAGCAGACATGAGGGAGATGCTGGCGGCAGCGCTGGACGCGGCTGCCTGGATCCTAGAGTTCACTTGGCCTAGCAGTACCTCAAATTCACACAGACCTGTTATTGCATGCAGTGCTCCAATGCAGAAACACAATCACCTGGACTTGAATTCATCTGGAGATTACCTTGGGTTTGAACATGTTTCCAAAAGTGGATTTTTTCTCTTGTTTCTTCTCTTCTGGTTTTGGTGCCGGAGGTTCTTCGGGTTTGGCAGAAGCCTCAAGGGTGCTGCTCTTCGAAGCGTCTACCTGGTGTTTCAGAGGAAGAGAACAGCAAACGAAAGAACAGTGTGAAGATTCAAGAAGGTGCTCAATTGATTGTGTGAATCATCAGTGGAGAGGTTAAAACAGACATCTAGCTTTACTACAGACTGCTGCATTTATACGTCAGAGCCTCGTTTTCTTGTGGCACTTTCCAAAATGAGGGTATAAAACAGTCAAGAAATGTTAAAGGGGTGGTTCAGGATTTTGTACATCGGGCCTCATTTCCAAGTTAGCCTTAGTGTTATCTATCAGTGGAGACAGTTTTCAAAAATTATCATCCAGTCGTTCCAGTTGCATGAGGCCCGATGTACAAAATCCTGAACCACCCCTTTAAAATGTCATATATAAATGCATGACATGTCCTAACTTTTGTTAACATGGTTGCAGAGTTCATTTAAAATATTTGAGAATTAAATAATATATATTTAAATAATTATATATATAATCTTGGAATTTTATATATATATATATATATATATATATATATATATATATATATATATATATATATATATATTTATTATATATATATATATATATATATATATATATAAAAATTATTTAAAAAAAAAAATATATATATATATATATATATAAATCTAAATAAAATTTCAAAATTATATATATAATTATACAAATATATATTATTTAATTCTCAAATATTTTAAAAATTTAATCACATTTATTTTAAATGAGGTCTGCAACCATGTTAACAAAAGTTAGGACGTGTGTGTGTGTGTGTGTGTGTGTGTGTCTGTGTGTGTGTATTTTCTTTAGTTTATGGGAACGTTTATCAACATTAACATTTGGTCTGAAATCTTGGAATTTTATATGTATATATATACACTCTCAAATATGTAATATATCTTATATATAATATAATATTGATGTTGATAAACTTATATTTCAATAAGATCTGAAATCTTGGAATTTTATTTAGGTTTATATATATATAAACCTAAATAAAATTCCAAGATTTCAGACCAAATGTTGGTGTAGAAAAACTTATATTTCCCATAAACTAAAGAAAACACACACACACACACACGCACTCATACACAAACACACACACAAATGCATATCATTTATAATTCTTTATCATCTTGATGAATACACTCTAAACGAAGATTTGGGTCAAATATGGACAAACCCAAATGTTGGGTTAAAAATGTAATTTCAAATTTTAACCCAACTTCAACTGTAAATTTTGGAATTGCATTTTTAACCCAAAATTTGGGTTTGTCCATTTTTTGACCCAAATTTGGGTTGAAACAACCCAGCATTTTTTTTAGAGTGTAAGATTACAATTTAACTGAAAATTGTGTAAAAATGTAGATTATTTGACTAGTTTCCGTCCCAATTTTTCATTTTGAAAGTTGGAAACAGGTTAACACAATAATTCTAGGTTGAATAATTCATGTATTCTCTCAGGAGAACACGACAGTCGTGACGCGACACCGTTTTATACCCCGTTTACAGAAAGCTCCAAGCATGTACATGATGCAAGCACGTAAATAAATAGTAGACGACTGATTTTATTTAGGAAGACAGTCCCACCACCGTGCTGTATTTACCTGTACCTCAACCGGCTTTTTCTCTTCAACCACAACAGGCTGTAGGCAAGCAAATATTAGCATTAATTTTGCAGTAATCCTCAATTCCCAAGGCACTTAACACTGCCTGTTTATTCTAGCAAAGACAAATACTGAGTCACAGGTTACAGAAAGCCTTTACATGAGCCTCAAGTCGCTGAATAAATCTGATGTAAGTATGAAGTGGAGGCATGGAGAGCAGTGGAACCCAAAGCGCATGGTTTAGTTGGCCGACTGTTGTGACATGAGGTAATGGCTGCTGTCAACATGATGTCAACATAATGGACGTTCACTGACTCATTCAATGAGTTTCCTGCTAATTGAATGGCCTATGTGTGAAAACATTTCTTTGAATATTACATATTATAGCTCTCTCACACAACGGTCTCCTTGGATTAATTTGCATGTCAGTTCTGTTAATATCAGAATAGCCTATTCTTGTTCTCATTTACCACTCTTGATGTCTTAGCACTGGCTCCACTGGAGGTCGCCGCCTGAACTTTTGACACCACCTTGCCTAGCAACACCTCAAATTCACATTACTCAGTTATGGTGTGCCACATAAGCTATATTTAAAGTATTATAAGAGTCTAAGTCTCACCCCAGAAGCAAAAGAGAACAACTTTATTTATGTGGTTTATTGTCCCCTGGATGTACTCCTGCCAGTTTGGGCTTACCTTTGGACGGAAGAGTTTGCTGAATGAACTGTCTTTAGTTTTGGTCTTGGCAGATCCCTCTGCTTTTGCTGAAGCTGCCGCCGCTGCTTTTGTTGCAGACGTTTCCTCTTTTTTCACCACCGGCTCTGCTTTACTCTCCATCTTAGGTGGAGCTGGGGGAGGAGGAGGAGGAGCCTTGGGTGTTTCCTGTGCCTTAAAAAAAGTGTGCAACTGGTTTTATTACAAAACAGCAGATGGTTTACATCATCCATCCATCCATCCATCTATCCATCTATCTATCTATCTATCTATCTTAATTATTAAAACCAAATATTTTTTTAAAGTAGATTTCGTGTCGTGTGATTGTATAGCTTATTAAAATAAGATTATACTAACAGCACAAAATGATAAAAATGATTCATAAATGTTATAATGCTGATAATATTATATGGCTCACATTTGTTGGCGGTGCTGGTGGAGTCTCTTTCTGTGACTGAGGAATAAATATTAGGACAGTAAATATCAAGCATCGCCTGCATTTAGGACAATATTCATACATCAGTTTTTTTGCAAAGTAATCTAAGCTTGCTTGTTTTTATATTTATAAATGTATTTATGTATAAATAAATAAATCTAAAATGAAGAAATCATTTATGTATAAATATTTATTTATTTATTAACAAATACATTCATAAACACAATTTAGGGTATCAGTTTAAAACTGAAAACAATATTATTTAGAAATAAAAACCGAAAGTATACTGACACTGTAGATTGCCAGATTGGAACAACAACTACATAAATAAGTGAATACATAAATCATTTTAATAGGGCTGTCAAACGATTAATCACATCCAAAATAAAAGTTTGTGTTTACATAATATATGTGGGTGGACTGTATATAATTATTTTATATGTATATATATATATATATATATATATTTATATTTTCATGTATATACTGTATATAGATTTATATATAATTTATATTATATATAAATTGTATTTTTTTCTTAAATATACTTGCATTATTATAAAATAATAATTTTATTTTATTAAACAAACTTTTATTTTGGATGCGATTAATCGCGATTAATCGGTTGACAGCCCTACATTTTAATAATTAAAAATATAAAATAATTAAAAATAATATATAATATAATATAATATAGACCTTCAAATGGATTAATCATGATTAATTTCATCTAATATAAATGTTTGTGTTTATATAATATGTGTGTGTGTGTGTGTGTGTGAGTACACACATATATTTATATATTATATGGATACATACTGTATATAGATAGATACATATATATATATATAAAAATATATATATAGATAGATAGATAGATAGATAGATAGATAGATAGATAGATAGATAGATAGATAGATAGATAGATAGATAGATAGATAGATAGATAGATAGATAGATACATCGATGGATGGATGGATGGATGGATGGATGGATGGATGATATATACATGAATTATAAACACAAACTTTTATGTTAGATGTGATTAATCGATTTGATCTCACTAAATATAAAATAATCTCATGAATATGAATGAGTAGTGTTGTGACAGTCAGGGTTTTATTACCTGTTCTTTTGAAGCATCAGGAGTGGCTTTGGCTTCTTTGCTCGTTTTGGTCGGAGTGACCTTCGCATGCAAAAAAGAGAATGGAGACAAGGAAACATTAGAGTGACTGTGAAAAAGTGTCAGAGTGGCATGTTTAAGCATATATTGCTCCTTCAGGTACTCCATGTCGGAAGGACAGGCCTACTCGTCTGCATGGAGATGAAGATTGAGATATCAAAAATGTATCGTTTGCAAGGATAATGGCTGTCTGTCAAACTCAGACGCTGTGTGGACGGGCTCGCTTCGCCACGGGCACACAAAGAGCTCCCTGGCAGAGGCCGTTCTGAACATGCTTCTCATATTGAGTCAGCCTTTGTCCTCTGGAGATGGCGTAGGCCTACCCGTGCTTTATCACAACTCCAAACGCACAGGCCTCCCTTGTGAGCTCACATTATACAGCAAACAAAAGGCTGACACTGTCTGACATGTCCAAAGGCTTGATTTAGAAGAGTGCCAAGGGTGGTTTAACAGATTAAAGATGCAGTGTAACACATACCACAATGATGGAGTAAAAATGCATCATTGTAGTCTAGTACAGCAGATTATCGGATAGCAGTCAGTAATCCAGAAATACACACCTTTCTGTTCTTCTATATAAGTTATATATTATATAAACACTCATATTTGTCAGTTAATATTTCTTTGAAAGCTTTGAAAGAACAATGCACTCGAAAAAATTCAATTCACTCCAAAACAAATAAAAATAAATCTCTTGAATGCACTGAAACCCCTTTTGAATGCATTTATGTAAATGTAGACTTCGAAACTTTATATCGAAAGCTTTAGCAAAATTCAAATTTGTACTTACAAATGTTTTGAAAAAGTTCATAACTGTCTTTTCTGTTGCTTTAATGTCCTCTGATGGATGGTTTTCTTCCGTGACTTCCACAGGACAGGGTTCGAGAGTTTCACCCTCCGGCTCCGGCTGTGTGCTGGTCTTTATGTCCACTGGATCCTATAGACAAATCCAGAGAATTAGCCCTTGGACATGTGTTACAACCCTTACAGCTGATGTGCAATAGATGCATTGAAATAGGGGCACAATTCCATCCATGCCTCTGCCTACTCGAGTCAGCAGCAACAATCATCCTATTATTAACGCCTGTTTCCCCCCCCTCACTCATTGATATTCAGAAATGTGCTGGGCTTAAAGTCTGCGTGCTTTATATTACAGTAAAATGCATCATGTTTAAATTAGAGTATGCGTTCGGCTTGTTATATTTTACAGAAAATCACTTTTAGAGAGCTAAATGTTGAACATATCAGATTTAACTGCACATGATGACTGGTGTACAGTTACAGAGGGTCTTCATTAGTTACTGGATGTTATTTGAATTTCATGCAAATGGAAACCACAAAAGAAAAAGACAAAACAAAGACGTACAATGTTTGAGACGGTTACACTACCGATCATTTTTTTAAAATTATTACGATTTTTTTGGATGTTTTCCTTCTGCTCACCATGGCTGCATGTATTTGATCAAAACTATAGTAATATTTAATATGTTAACGATTTTAAAATGACACTTTTTCCTGTGAATTTTCACATCAAATCATTCTAATATGCATAAAACTTGCTGATAATTTACCAACCCCCATGTCATCCAAGATATCCATGTCTTTCTTTATTCAGTCGAAAAGAAATTAAGGTTTTTGGTGAAAACATTCCAGGATTTTTCTCCATATAATGGACCTAAATGGGAACCAAACGGTTCAAGGTCCAAAAGACACTTTCAGTACAAACTGCAAACTGTTGAAAGAGCTTTAAACGATTCCAGACGATGAATAAGGGTCTTATCAAGCGAAACGATCGCTCATTTAAAAAAACAAAACTAATTTTAAGTTTTATAAGCTCAAATGCTCGCCTTGCTCTGTTCTGTGACGCGCATTCGTGACTCTCCTGTTCGAACTCGTTCATCAAAACGAACAAATCTTTTCCCGAGTCAACTCGTTCATTTCGTTCGCTGAATGAACCGAATGACCTGAAAAAAGATTTGTTCATTTTGATAAACAAGAGTCACGAACGCGCATCACAGAACAGAGCAAGGCGAGCATTTGAGCTTATACAACTTATTCTTTGTTATTTATTTATTAAATGAGTGATCGTTTCGCTTGATAAGACCCTTATTCATCGTCTGGAATCGTTTAAAGCCCTTTGAACAGTTTGCAGTTTGTACTGAAACTGTCTTTTGGACCTTGAACCGTTTGGACCCCATTGAAGTCCATTATATGGAGAAAAATCCTGGAATGTTTTCATCAAAAACCTTAATTTCTTTCCGACTGAAGAAAGAAAGACATGGACATCTTGGATGACATGGGGGTGAGTAAATTATCAGCAAAAGTTTTTTAAAAGTGAACTACGCCTTTAATTATTATTAGGGTTCAGTTATTAATAATGGCTCTTATTATTAATATTATCAATGCTTCAAAGACTGCAAAAGTACAAACAGTAATATCACAATTTAAAGTAAATGTCTTCAGTGTCACATGATCCTTCAGAAATCATTCGGTAACACTTTACTTGAAGGGGTGTGCATAAGACTAACATGACACCTTCATAATCATGACATGACATATGTTATGAATATGATGGAAGTTTTATGTACAGTATGTTTTTGATAACTGTCATTAAGTGTCATTCGCTCAGTTATGAGATTTTAATGAAAATATGACATTGTTTGAGATGTCTTTGTTATGATAACTTGACATAAACCAACACAGTGTCTTTGTCATGTTTAACTTAATTTAAAGACACTGACAGGTTATGATGTCTTGGTTTATAACAAAGTCATATTTGCATTAAAAATGTCATGATTGAGCGAAAGACACTTAATGACAGTTGTCACAAACATGCATAAACCTTCATATTCAAGACATATGTTTGATATGTCATATCATGACATATGTCACTCCTTCAAGTAAAGCGTTACCAATCATTCTAATATGCTCACGATTTCCAACATTGTTAATAAACGAGCAACAATAATAATTGAGAAGCAAATCAGCATATTAAAATGATTTCTGAAGGATCATGTGACTCTGATCATGACGATGCTAGAAAAAAGCACATTTTAAAATGTCAAAATTGCAAAAATATATTACAATTTTACTTTTTAAATCAAATAAATGCAGCCTTGGTGAGCATACGAGGCTTCTTTAAGAAAAAAAAAAACATAATTAGTTATAAATTATGATTGTAGTTTATATAGAGACAACACAAGAATCAAACATGCTGACAAAAAAGTGTTTTTTAATGTAGTAAGTTTCGACGACACATTCGGGTAGTTAATTTTGTGTTAATCGACGACAAGCATCTTGAGGAAAGGAGCTAGTAGGTTCATACATGCGGCGAGTTTGTCCATGCGGCGCCTTTCTCGTTGAAAGAACATTGTTCGTCGTAACTGACCTTATCCAGACATGTGAACTCATCCGGGCAAACCTCAATTGTGATGTGAATAATGCCTTTATCAGCACATACATTTACACTGAACGGCTTATAGGAAGAATCTTCTAAAGCCTTTGTGCAAATGGACTTGAGTTGGGAAAGAATTTGAGTAGATTCGGCTGAATTACATTGAAATTCTTCTGAACGTCCACTATGGTTCAGGGGTCGAGCTGGTTCCTCAATAATCTCCCAACTCTCCTCATCTGTTTTCATCAGTTTTTTAGAAATAGGTTCATCCGTCAGATGTTTGGTAGCTTCACACATTGGGACGTCCTCACATGCTAATTGTTCCCTTTCATCTGATATGATGCTTTCAACCATTTGAAGAAGTTCCTTGTCTTCTAGCAAGGCCTGTTCAGCATCCGCAGCCTTAGGTTCTTCATCTTCTGGAACCTCAGCATCAGCCGTTAATGGTAATTCAGATTTCAGATGTCCTACATGTATCTCACTGGCTTTTCTTGTAACTGGCTCTTCAGCAACAGATACTGGTTCTTGTTCGGTGTGCAGATCTGGTAGGACCTCCGGGCATGTCACGTCTTCAGCGTTCGCGCTTGATGACTCCATCGAGATGTTCTTCGTCAATGAGCTTGGGCTTTTGGGTTGCGCGGGAATAGCGTCGACCAATTGCAATTTGAGCTTCTCCGCAACTTCCTCAAGAATCTCCTTTTGGTCTGAATTAATGAAGACTTTATCCTTTTGGAATGAGAAATTGGTAAATGTGAATCAGAATGCACGAGGTTTTTGCGATTTTACGAGGATTAGTTGTTCCCTGGTTAATGCTCGGCAAAACTATTCAGATATCCATCCAAAAATAACCATGACCTTATGCATTTAATATACTGGAAAAATGCTGTGTTGTTTCAACCAATGTATGGGTCAACAGTTGGGTTTGTCCATATTTGACCCAAACATCGGTTGAAACAACACAGCATTTTTAGAGTCTATTTTACCTGTCTATTTTTAAGTCCTTGGTGAAAACCTACCTTTTCTCTTTAGCATACTGATCTCCTTTTAAGTATTTTATTATGTTATAATTGGGTCTCTGACAAGGCTACTTGTAGCTTTGCTGCCTTTTATGTGTGATATGCTTATTTTTGCTCTTATTTCTGTGTTCTGTAAAGCACTTTGGTCTGTCTAAGCGGCTGTTTAAATGTGCTATATAAATAAATGAACTTGAACTTGAACTAGCATTTTTAGAGTACTAGAGTACTAAATCATTCTTTGTTTTATTGTGAATCTGCTTTTTTCAAGCTTATTTTTACATCCTACATCCTTTCCGATGTCAAATAATGAGAACACATTTGTTTAGGGACCAACTGTAAAAACTTATTTTCATGATTTATTTTCACAACTTAGAAAATTAATGTGGTTTAGATAATATTAATATTTTGAGTCTCTGTTGATTAAACTCATTTTTTTTTATTTCAATGAACTCAAAAACTTAAGGCAACCAGGTAACTTAATTGTTTTAAGTTAAACCAGCAATATTTGTCAGTTATTAGCATGCAAATTATTAGGATATTACTAGGCTATTTATTAGTACTTATAAAGCATATGAATGCCTTATTCTGAATGACTATACACTACATCCCTTAATCCTACCCAATACCTAAACTTAAAGGAGTAGTTCACTTTTCAAAAAACTTTTGCTGATAGTTTACTCACCCCCATGTCATCCAAGATGTCCATGTCTCGAAAAGAAATTAAGGTTTTTGATGAAAACATTCCAGGATTTTCTCCATATAATGGACTTTACTGGTAACCAAATGGTTCAAGGTCCAAAAGACACTTTCAGTGCAAACTGCAAACTGTTCAAAGGGCTTTAAATGGCTTTTAGTCAATTCGTTCGTTGAATGAGCCAAATGACTCGAAAAAAGATTTGTTCATTTTGATGAACGAGTTCGAACAGGAGATCACACAGAACAGAGTAAGGCGAGCATTTGAGCTAATAAAACTTAAACTTTGTTATTTATTTATTAAATGAGCGATTGTTTCGCTTGATAAGACCCTTATTCATCGTATGGAATTGTTTAAAGCCCTTTGAACAGTTTGTAGTTTGCACTGAAACTGTCTTTTGGACCTTGAACCGTCTGGTTCCCATTGAAGTCCATTATATGGAGAAAAATTCTGGAATGTTTCCATCAAAAACCTTAATTTCTTTTCGAGACATGGACATCTTGGATGACATGGGGGTGAGTAAATTATCAGCAAAAGTTTTTTTTCAAAAGTGAACAACTCCTTTAACAACTACCTTCCAAAATATTATCGTAGTTATAATTAGTTAATAGTGAGAATTGGACCCTAAACTAAAATGTGACCCAAATCATTTTTCTGTCCAAACTAATAGCAAAACTACTGTGCAATGTGACGAATCATAAAGAACTATTAATATCTTATGTTTAAAAATACAACCATTTCACTGTGGACGGGGCTACCAGAGAAATCAAGAGGCTGTGAAAATGTAAAGGAGAAATTATACTGCATTAGTAAAATAATAAATGAACAACGTTGCAACTTCTACTTACAGGCTGCAAGTCAATTTTCAGATCCACGAGGGCGTCAACTGAATCGTTGCTTTCTAATGCAGGTTTCACAGGTTCACTCTTCTTTTTGAACATTTTACCAAAGAGGGTGGTCACCTCATCTTCACTGGGCTTCGGGACTGTTTTGGGTGGTTCTGCATTTTTTACGATTGTGGTTTTTTGCTCGGGGGTTGTTGCCACATGTGCGGGTCCGTTGAGTTTACAGCCGTCTACCTCCTCTTTTTTTGGTGGCTTTGGTTCATTTTTGATGGTCACTGGTGGGGGTTCACTCTTTTGCTCCACTGCTGCGGTTTTGCTAGCCACTAGACAAAAGAAAACGCACAAGGATAGATAACATATATGCTGCCTTTATTTAAAAATTTGACTAATAATAAATCATAATACACACCCAGTTCTTATAGCTTAGGCCTTATTCATATCTAGTTTAATGGTCTGACATTTAAAGGTAACTCTATCTAGTCCCGCCAAAGTTACACAAGCATATTCAACAAGACTGTGCACATGCATCTGCGTTTGCATACTTGAGCAAAGTGTTCCTGGCCTTATTTCTACAAGCATTGTGCAACTTTCATTCTCTCATGCATGCATGCATCTACCGGATTCTATGAGATATATATCACTCACATTTAGTAAGTCTGGGAAATGCACTTGTGAGTGCACTTCCCTTCTATAAAGGCTTTGTGAAAGTGTTAGCAACTACAAACTAGCAATGCACACAAAACGCAAATTAAACATTGCTTTATCCACCATGCATCTGACTACAACACCCAAAGTTTATACAGAGCTTTGAGACATGTTTTCGAATGTGGGTTGACTTGCTGAGTTAATCCAAACAATGTAAATGCCTTCAAGTCTAACTCTTGCAGATCTTTACTTTGAGAGAATATGCAGGGAGATACATTGGTAACACTTATAGGGTTTAGTTAATGCATTAGTTACCATTAACTGTAACAATGAGCAATATATTTTTACAGCATTTATTAACCGTGTTTACGTTAGTTTATATTAGGGCTGTCAAACGATTAATCGCGATTAATCGCATCCAAAAGAAAAGTTTGTGTTTACATAATATTTGTGGGTGCACTGTGTATAATTATTTTGTGTGTGTGTATATATATATATATATATATATATATATATATATATATACACACACACGCATGCATCTATATTTAAGAAAAAATATTCTTTATATATAAAGTATTTATATTTATATATAATATAAATGATATATAAATCTATATACAGTATATACATGAAAATATTTCTTAAATATATACAAGCATGTGTGTGCATTTATATATATAAAATAATTATACACAGTGCACCCACATATAACACAAACTTTTATTTTGGATGCGATTAATCACAATTAATCGTGATTAATCGCTTGACAGCCCTAGTTTATACAAATGTTCAAAGTGCATTAACTAATGTTAACGGATCCAACTTTTGATTTAAAAAAACGTATTAGTAAATGTTGAGATTAACATTAACTATGAGTATGATTAATAAATGCAGTAAAAGTATTGTTCATTGTTAGTTCATGTTAACTAATGCAGTTAACTAATGTTAATAAATGAAACATTGTAAAGTGTTACCGATACGTTTAGCCACATATATTATCTAAACACAAACTTTTATTTTGGATGAGATTAATCGTTTGACAGCCCTAATTGGTAAAACTTTACAGGGTCTAATTTGTTAATATTAGCTAATGTATTAGTTACCATGAACTGTAACAATGAGCAATATTTTTTTTTACAGTATTTATTAAACGGGTTTACGTAAGTTTATACAAATGTTCATGTTAGTTCAAAGTACAGATCCAACAAATGTACAAGTAAATGTTGAGATTGACATATGAGTATGATTAATAAATGCCGAATTGTTCATTGATAGTTCATGTTAACTAATGCAGTTAACTAATGTTAATAAATGAAACATTTAGCCACATAAACAAAATAAATGTGCAGTATATAGTATAGATACCAAGTTCAGTTCCATCTGGATTCGGGACTGCATGTCCATTCAGATCTCCATTCTTCACTTTTTTCTCAGCATTTGTCTGGTAATGACATTGTTTAGGTTCATAATATGTAGTTGTCCCTCAAGGTACTTACAAGAGTATTTCAAATGCTGGAAAAGCACCTAAATATAATTTTTTCTTGTATATACATTTAACATAAAAGTATTGATGTTGAAAATATACCATAAGGTAATAAATATTAAACCGATGTTATATGTCAACTACACTTAAAAATGTAATTTACCTTTGGCGGTCTTTTCTGAGTTGATTGTTCATTCCCCATCTTCACTTCAAGTCAGCAACTGAATATCAGCATTGACATTGAAAACAGTTATTGCATATTAATATGAGGAAAATACCCACAATATAATTGTTCCAAGTCTGTTACGTGGGCTGAATTCAATCAGATGAAGACTAAAAATCCCACACTGCAGAGAAATGAGTTTTTGTCTTGTTTTCAGTACAAATATCTAAGCATTCCTAGATCAAATTGCAATTTCTTAAGAAGCGAAATGACATAAGGTTTCTTATTCTGAAAAAGGGTAACACTTTATTTTAAGGTGATGTTAAATGGTACTTAAATAAGCACTGGGTAATATTATTTAACTACATGAACTTGCTGTAGAGTTAGGGTTTGGTTTAGTTGTAATTATGCATAATTTACTGTACTATAGTAAGTATGCACCGTTTATAGTATGTGGTACCATATAACTAAGTCAAAACATTTAGCAAATAAAATGTCCGCCAAAAATAATCATTTTCCTTTTAAATTAAGTTTATTTTTCTTACCCTATTGGAAGAACTTTTTCATATTTTAAGTAACTTTGTTTCTCAAGTAAATGCATCTTGATTTAAACATGTTTAGATATTTGTACTTGAAAACAAAGCTATTTTTTATTAGCTTCATTGCAGTCCAATGGGAAAACTATAGATTTCTGCAGGGTGGAGTAGCTTCTGACTTGTTTTTGTGAAGGTTGTAAGTTCAATCCCCAAAAAAGGGATGATAACTAAATATTAAATAATACTTCTAACTATTAAATAACTTAAATATTGGTATTTACCTTTTGTACTGTCCTGTGGCCCAAACTGACAATTAGAGTCTGTGTACAGTTTCCAAACCTCGATTAAAGTAATCACCAGCGATGTGCTATCTGTCAAGCCTGTGTGTATACATATACCTGTCCTAAAAGAGGGCGGGGCTCAAAACTCATTACCTTAATACACTGTGGATGAGACATGGCCTGTGAACCTATTAGCCCTGATGAACTCAGCATCTTGTCCTTTTGTTTCTCACCGATGCGCTTTTCCATCTAAAAAAAGTGACAGGATTTTCACACATGTCAATGATAAGACAATCAGACAATATAATCCACTCATTCAAAGTTGTTACCCAGAGAAAGTGTCAAGCTGAACTGAGAACAGTCTGTTTTGTAGGTGTGGTTGGCCCCAAACAGGATGTGTGTAGGATATAATGCAAAAGTTTATTTGCACAGTGTGACTCTCATCCAGGGCTTGAGTACAGAGTACATGATGCCAAGCTTACCAACATAAGCCTTTATTTATTCAATGATTCCTCACTGGCAGAATACATTAAAGAAACATGACAAACACTTAATTGAGAGAGTTACAACGTGAATAATGAGAGAGGCTTCAATTAAAATATTTTGATTTTCAGGATTTTTTTTAAAGAATGTTAATAATGTGATGCTGAATATGAAGCGGCACAACTGTTTTCAACAGTGATAAGAAATGTTTCTTGAGCAGTAAATCATCATATTAGAATGATTTCTGAAGGATCATGCACTGAAAACTGGAGTAATGATGATAAAAATTCAGCTTTGATCAAAGGAATCAATTACGTTTGAAAATATATTCAAAAAGAAAACAACTTTTTTAAATTGTAAGATTTAAAAAAAAGTGTATTTTTGATTAAATAAATGCAGCCTTGTTGAGCATAAGAAACTTAGGTAAGGTAGAGTAAGTTGACTTTAAATAATACTAAAGGGATAGCTCAACCAGATATTTGGAAGAATGATGGTAAACCAAAGAGTTGATGGACCCCATTGACTTCCATAGTGAAAACAGAATGGAAGTCTATGGGGTCCATCAGCTCTTTGGTTACCGACATTGTTCAAAATATATTCTTTAATATTCAACAGAAGAAATAAATGTCATCATCATGTCTTTTGCTTTAATGACAGCAGAACTGATGATGATCATGTTCTCAAGCTTGATGTTTCAAAGAACATCTTATGCTCTGATGGAAGCAAGAACATTTGACCATCTTAAATATTTCTTTATTTTCACATTTAAAAAATAAATCAATTCTTCCTGTGTTTTTAAGTTCATATTAGATCTAATACCAATCAAAGGGGTTTATTGATTGGATTATCTTATCTTTACAGCCTATTAAACTGATCAATTTAAGCTCGTCCTCCAACATACAGAGTCAGAGATTATTTTTTGATGTACTGATGAACCTTGGATTTGCTCCAGACTGTAAAATAAATCCTAAAGTGAAGTACAGTCTAAATCCTAAACATTTGTACAATGGATTGCTGTGGACTGTTGGCAAATGGCAGGCTTATGTTTAATGACACGGAAACTATATATTTTGATTTCTAAGGCAAGAATTCAGCAAATATTGACATGTGGGATGAATTGCAAATTAATTAATCAGTATACGGTGGTCAAACGTGTGGAATAAATGGAAGTATTCTGCTCACCAAGACTGCATTTATTTGATGAAAAATACAGCAAAAACAGCAATATTGTGAAATATTATTTCAATCCAAAGGAACTGTTTATGACTTTAATATATTTTAAACTGTAATTTATTCCTGTGATGCAAAGCTGAATTTCCAGCATCATTACTCCAGTCTTCAATGTCACATGACCCTTCAGAAATCATTCTGATATGATGATTTGAGGCTCAAGAAACTGCTATATAATTTGTGGAAACTACCATTTAAAAGTTTGGACTAGGCAAGAGCTTTAAAAAAAAAAATCGAAATTAATTTTATTCAACAAGGATGCATTAATTTTATAATTTATTTAAGTGACGGTAAAGGTATTTATAATATTTCAAAAGATTTGAAAAAAATAATAATAATCTTGTGATATAATTACATGTCAAATGCATTCATTGTGATCCCCTAGACTTATTCTTGCATGGCGTGCAAGAGTGTTTTATCATAAATGACCAATCGACTTGACCTTTAATATATTTTTCTCGACATAATATTAATTCTTTTCATTGCACAAGCATAAATGCATACAGTACATGCTGACTGTCTCCCACATAGGGGCCCAGTCAGGCTGTCTTATTCCTTCTCCATTCCCCTGACTGTAAATGCAACTATTTGATTCACATGTGGTTGTTAGAGCTGAGGAATTTGCCAAAGTGCACTGTAAACCCTTTAACATCTCATGAAATAAATGTCAAACAAAACACTAACATGTACAGTGCACTGTGCTTTTCCTATTCAACAGAAAGCATGACAACGAACAAAAGGAGTAGATCCGCAGAGGGTGAGATTTTGTCATGTAAGCGCCGTTCATGGATACAGAGTCACATTGTAAATGTACACACCGGGGGCGAAAGGCAAATTCCTCTGTGGTCACTGTGAACTTGAGCTGCCATCATGAAATGAATTCTTGCGAAAGGCAAACAGGGAAAAAGGTCGCAGAAAATGCAATGGATGCATCATAGTTTTCATCTAATTATTCTTTGGTAGTCATTGATGCTCTTGTAGCTTTAAAAAGAATCATAAACGAATATAGTAAGGTTGGGAAAAGGGGGTGATTGTCCATTATCTCAATATTTGTCTTTGGGTGTAACACTGTTTACAAAAAGGAGCTTCAAGAAGCACTAGCAACCACAGTGAGTTTGCTCAGTCAGTTTCTGTCATTATGTTAACTATATATTCAACAGCTTGACTGTTTTACTTGGTTACCACTAACACATCGGACACTCAACCACATCCTTAAGCTGATAGATAGTTCACCCAAAAATAATACAAATTCTGTCATCATTTCTTAAAAACACAACAGAAGATATTCCAATATCCTTTGAATTTCTGTTTTTCTGGCAGAACAATTAGCACAACAAGGTTAAAGTCAGTTATAAGGATGGATTCTTATGAGAATGGTATAAAGTATAAATGTTTCAGCTATATGCCACTTTTGGCTCTGAGGATTTTTAGAAACTAGCCTAGGCCAACAACAACATTTTATAAAACATTTTAGGGGCGAAACTGTTGGTCGGGCTGGAAATAAAAGCTGTGATGTGTTCTCAGTTCTGAAACACTGAGGAAAGATTTCACGCAGTACACAACTATTTGATATTAAACTTTTTCAAATTGTGATGAGCATTGGCTTTTGATTTTTTTTTTTTTTCTTGGTTCTTGGATATGGCAAAATCTACAAGGCCAAAAAAGGTGGACACAACTACTACTACTACTACTGTCCTACTACTGTGCAAGTCGAGTTCTGAAAATCCAAACCACAAAGAAACATCGTATTATGTAAGTTATTACAGTCAAACATTATATTTCATGCTCCCTCTGTCAAAAGTAGCTACCATATTTATTTGAAACGGCAACAGAAGCACCACCGAGCACCATAAACTGTGCAGAGCAAGCAAATGTATGAATACCCACGTGCTCCATTCCGCCGCTGTCCACGCGCGTGCACGCAGTCCGCTTCCGGTTCAAAGATGGCAGCCACCATGAAGAAAGGAGTGGTATGTGTTCACATATCTTTTACTGTCTATGGTTCACATTAACTGCTTTCTGTTCAGATTTACGACGTTTTAGTGATGCAGACATATCTAAAACGGTTCACGAAACGGTTAGTCGTGGGACACTGGAAAGTATCTATTCCCATCTGCTAAATGGCTAACGTCACATTATTCATGATTGTCTGGCTTTGATTCTTATTATTTAAGTTCACGTTCATCGTTCTGCTGTTATAGCAGCACATTTTCTTTCTCATATGCCATTATTTAGGTCATAAAGTAAATATCTACTTATGACACTGTATGCTAAAGTTACAGCTTTATTATCTTTATTTGAAAATATAGATATTTCTAGATAGAAATGCATAGAATCGTACACACACCAAGCTTACTGTTTTGTGTGACGTGGATTTAATTGCCGACTTATTTTTACATCATATATTTTCCATCAAATGTAATGTCATTATAATGTTGTAAAAATGTCATTTAATGTCACGTCATGTGTTTACACAAAGCATAGGAAGAAAATTATTTCACGGCATTATTATTATTTTAGCTTTTTATAATATTTTTTTAATATAAAGAGCAAACGGTTTTGTTTACAGTGGAATAAATGTGATTAATAATACACAGTTTTGATTACAAATATGTGTTGAATCATAACAGGCAGCTGAAGATGTCAATGTAACATTTGAAGACCAGCAAAAGATAAACAAGTTTGCCAGAAATACAAATCGGATGTCTGAATTGAAAGATGAAATCGAGGCCAAAAAGGTAAATAGACTGTTTGATTTTTATTAGCGCTGTTAAATTGATTAATCGCATTTAACATACAAGTGTGTGTGTGTGTATATATATACACAAACATACAAGTGTGTGTGTGTGTATATATATACATATACACACAGGACACATGTATATGTGTGAGTGAATGTATGTATATGTATATATATATACACACACACACACACACACATGTATAAAATGTATACAAATACAATAATATACACAAACATTATGTAAAAACAAACTTTTAAGTTAAGATGCAATTAATCAATTTGATGGCATTAGTTCTTATAAATATATTTCTATTTTTTTGTAGAAATCCTTACAGAATTTAGAGGATGCCAGTGAAGACCTCATGATGTGTGAGGACGATGCTATGCTGATCCCGTATCAGATCGGAGACGTGTTCATCAGTCACTCTCAAGAAGAGACGCAGGAAATGCTGGAGGCAGCAAAGGTGACATGACCCATACCATACCAAACCCTCAAGCCGTGTGTGTCCCACAGAGCGAGTCAGCCATACACATTCTGGTCCGTAGACTCTGTAAAACTTGGTCTGTAAAAAAGATCTGGAATGGAAAGGTTACAGGTTCAAATATCATGAGTCGATTCCATGAACTACAATCATTGTGTCTTCGAATCAAGACTTAACCTCAGGTTC